CAACGCTTGTGCACACGTGGGGGGGGGGGGGGGGGGGGTAGCGAGGGCGCTTTTATTTTGTACACTGTCCCTTTCATATATATATATTTTTTTTTTTTTTATCACTTTTAATGCTATCACAGGGAATTAAAATATCCCCTATTACTTCAATGGGCATTGTCATAGATTCTTTTTTGAGAAATCTGGGGTCTATCAGACTCTAGATATCTCCACACCAAGATCGGTGTGATCAGATGCTTTCCCAATTTACAAATGGTGCTGTTTATATCCTGTGAAACTGAAGTGATGAAATGTTCATAGCTTCTGAATTCTTAGACTATAGAGATGATTGGCACCACTCTGGTCTCCAATCAGCTCTATGGTCAGCTGGCAGAAACAACGGCTGCATTCTCAGGTTCCCCCCGATGGGACGGGACTGCCCAAGAAGATCGTGAAAGGCAGCAGGGGAGGGGGGCATCATCTCCCGCTGCTTGTAAAAGCAATCCTGCAGCTAATTGGCCACTAGGATAGCATTTACATGAAAGCCGATTGCCAGCTGCAGGCATCATCCTGGTATAACCATTCAAAGTCCATTGATGTACCAGTACATCGCGGTCCTTGTTGGGTGTATATGCTATGTACTTTTTCTTTTTTTTCTATGCAGCCTGTGGGCTGAAGAAATCTCTGCCAGAAAAAATGTGTGGTATGCCCACCATTAGAATATACCCCCCTGCATCACCCACTTCAAATGGTGGGCACACATGAAATATTCTTTTTTTTTTTTTTTTTTTTTTTTTGTCCAGCCCATGGAAAAAAGGATGACACCAAGTCTCAAACTATCTTGCCACTGCTCCCCATGTAGTCTGCGTATCCGGGGGGCTCCACGTAACTATCTTTTCCCTCATAAATCTGAAACTTGTATGTATAGCCTGTTGCCCTCTCACGGCTTTATACATCTTGACCCCATATCTGGCACGCTTGCTGGGAAGAAATTGTTTGAATGCAATGTGGCCAGAAAAATGAATGAGGGATTAAGCAATGCAGATGTTTTGCTGGGGAGTATAGACATCTGAAAATGTTTGGTTAAGGTGATGTATGAGGGGCCGAATTTTGTGGAGCCGGTCAAATTCAGGGTCACCCCGAGGACAATAGTGTATTGTCGTTGAAATGCATAAAACGCATTATACTCTCATATCTATGCCTGGTCATTGCAGCAGAGAACTCGTGCATATGATGAATCTGGTGTGTGGCCAATACAACCGCAATTCATTTTTTGCAAGCACATCCAGAAGGATACTAGCTCTACAGGCCTGTGTGCGAATTCTTGGTACCTGCGGGACACTACTTGTGCTCGCCACCGCACAGGCTTTTACTGCACTTATGGGACTCGCCATGTCACCAAGTAATACTGCACAGCTAGTATATGAAAGACGAGGCTGTAGTAGGCCGCTGGTACTCGCCAGTTCACCAAAAGGTAAAGCGGTACTAGTACTGGCACTTTGCTGCATATGAGAGTCATCATGCGATTATAACATCTTCGCAACCTGGGAATGGGGTCGGGTACACCTGACTTTAGCAGGGACCTCTTCTCCATCTGTGATTTTGCGCACCTGTGCCGCCCTGCAGCAGTATTTCTGCTATAGGGTGACGTGGAAGTGGTTAATATCATGAATTTAAATGAATATGAATTTATTTTCAGCATCTTTCAGCTAATAGGCTGCTTTCACATTGAGCAGTTTTTGCAGCGCTTTTGCGTTTAAAAAAAAAAAAAAAAAAACACACAAGAAAAGCTAAAGAAAAATGCTTCCCTTTAAATTCAATGTCTGTCTTCACCCCCAAAGCAGAATGTTTCCACCACCATGTTTGACAGTTGGGATGGTGTTCTTGGGGTCATAGGAAGCATTCCTCCTCCAAACACGGCGAGTTGAGTTGATGCCAAAGAGCTCGATTTTGGTCTCATCTGACCACAACACTTTCAACCAGTCCTCCTCTGCATCATTCAGATGTTCAGTGGCAAACTTCAGATGGGCCTGGACATGTGCTTTCTTGAGCAGAGGGACCTTGCGGGCACTGCAGGATTTCAATCCTTGTCGGCGTAGTGTGTTACCAATTGTTTTTCTTGGTGACTGTGGTCCCAGCTGCCTGGAGTCATTGACAAGATCCTCACGTGTAGTTCTGGGATGATTCCTCACTGTTCTCATGATCATTGACACTCCACGAGGTGAGATCTTGCATGGTGCACCAGACCTAGGGAGACTGACGGTTGTTTTGTTTTTCTTCTATTTGTGAATGATTGCACAAACTGTTGTCACCTTCTCACCAAGCTGCTTGGCGATAGTTTGGTAGCCCAGTCCAGCCTTTTGTAGGTCTACAATCTTGTCCCTGACATCCTTGGACAGTTGTTTGGTCTTTTCCATGGTGGAGAGTTTGGAATCTGATTGTTTGATTGCTCCTGTGGACAGGTGTGTCTTATACAGGTAACAAAATGAGATTAGCAGCACTCCCTTTAAGAGACTGCTCCTAATCTCACCTTGTTACCTGTATAAAAGACACCTGGTAGCCAGAAATCCTACTGAATGATAGGGGATCAAATACTTATTTCCCTCATGAACATGCAAATCAGTGCATGCATAAGTTGTTAGAAATGCACTTCTTTTGAATTTTTTTGTTGCTATTCTGTCTCTCTGTGTTACAATACTCCTACCATTCGATTTTTAGACTGATCATTTCTTTGTGAGTGGGCAAACATTCAAAATCAGCAGGGGATCAAATACTTATTTCCTTCTCTGTATTAACATGCAATGATCTGGTCCTGATGTGTTTTAACACCTTGAAAGCTGGGTACACGTGGGTTTTACGACTGGATTCTGTCGAATGGGAATGCTGGAAGCCCAGCATCCAACCCACATCTGATCAGTGTGTTGGGGTAGTGGTGGGGGAGTTCCCCTTCAGAACAGAATAGCACAGTGAGAGAGATCGCTGCACTAACATTGCTTGTCTTGGTAAGGTCATCTGTAATTTTTGTTTTTTTTTTCATTCAGCCCGCTGAGTTGGAATAACAATAACTGAACATGTGCACCTAGCATAAGTCCAGATTCCTAATATTTTACTTTACCAATTATTTAAATAGTCTCCTGCTTCCTCCCTCCAACCCCTTCCTCCCTTCCTCCTCTTGCACTTCAGCAAAAAAAAAAACATTTGTCTTTGTAATATTTCTTGGCTTTGGCCTAGGCGAAATTGATGTCTCTGCCCCCCCCCCCCCCCCCCAACCCCCCATGTGCAGATACTGTGTGGGCCTTTGCAACATCTCACAAACTGTCTCCTTGAATGTGTAACGTAGCCATACCAGGAGCTGTTTGCACATACACCCTGCAGGGTTTTTAGCCAGAGAACTGGCAGAGAGATGCGGTATGTTCTTGCATGCATACGGGATCTGCTAAATGTGCCAAGGGCATCTTTGATGGGTCCCATAGACCTGACAGAGCCTCGCGGGGAGTCTGCTTGCATTGGTTCTCAATTAACCACTTAAGGACCGCCCTATAGCAAATATACTGCTACAGGGTAGTACCTGTGCACAGAATCATGTGTGTCTATATATACACGTGATTTTGCATTTCTGGGGTCCTAGCCAATACCACCGAAAGAAAGCTCAATTTGTGGGGAAAAAAAGACGTGAATTTAATTTGGGTTCAGCGTTGCATGACCGCGCAATTGTTAAAGTAACGCAGCGCCATAACGCAAAAAATGGCCTGGTCATGAAGGGGGTAGTTCCTCTGGAGGGCAAGTGGCTAAAGATGGTGGCGCTGGAGAAGACGGGTGAATGTGGAGCTTCAAGACAACACTGGATGTTGTTTTTCCTTGTTGAAAAAGTCTGCTAAGGTAAGCTGTATTTCACCAAGTACGCATGTTACAGGTGCACCAGGGCAATAATGCTGCTATGTAAAAAGGCATTGTCTCCAGATCAAATGCTATATTTTAATTTGTAAGTACAATATTGCTATATTTTTAATCTCTCGCTCTCTCCAGAGACAGCCATTGTTATTGCAGAGTCGCTGGCAGGAAAAAATTCGAATAAGTTGACATTTCCCTGTGTGGAGACACCTTTATTTCTGGCTGCCTTCTGCTGCTCCTCCCTTAGCCACTATGTCAGATGTAGTTTACAGCACTGAGGCTCATCTGTCAGTCTTACGTCTCATAGCCTTTATTGATTCTAGCAACTTGGAAAGACATTTAGACACTTTGTACAAACTGAGCATAGGATCAAAGAAACTCCATGGGGACAGGGGGGTTCAGCAGGGACCTGCCAGGATTCCAGCCATCTATGGGCAGGCTGATTGTACCCAGGTCGATTGTTGTACAACCAGCATGTTGGATTTTTCGTGTGATTATTGCCAATGGCTATTCTAGACGCTAGCAGTAATGGCTTTACTCTTCCGATGGGGACGGCTCCCCACAGCAGGACAGTACAATGGCTCCACGGGTGTGATTCACCCATTAACACTGACTGTTGACGGGAATGGAGAGGTTTTTTTTTTTTTCTCTTTGCTTCAAGTATTGCCTGCCTTAATTAAGATCAACATACATTCTTCTTGTGGCTATACTCCAGCTTGTAAGGCTATAAATAGTCTGGGAGACCCCAGTAGACCCCGATCACTGATCTCCCCACCCCCTCCCCATCCTATTGTACTTCCCCCTCCCCAACCTCATAAACTTATGGAACAAAAATTAAGATCAACATAGGTACTTTATTATTTTGCTGTCTTGTTTACTCTTGAGCTTAAATGGCCATCTTAAAAAAAAAAAAAAAAAACTTTGTTACTTGTACCAGGTACACATTCTACTAAAGCAATATATCCAGCAGATAGTTTTTCCACCTAATGCACAATATGCACACCTTATTGAGATCCTTGCTTATAGTGGGCAAGCATATACTGTCATTAGGGAAAATTCTTGCCCTTGTGAGTGTGATATTTTGTCTAAAGAGTTATATAATATTGTAAATAATGTCTCCTGTTTTGCAGGTTATACTATGTTTGCTCTGGGTATAGGAGCCATGATCTATGGATATTGGAAAGTTGGCACGTGGAATAGAGAAAGGAGGTATCTGAAATTCTGTGGTCTGCTGAATCTTTAAACTAAAATATATGCTTTATTATATGAATGCTCTGTGCCCTGTTTACAGACAGAAAACAAACTAACAGAAATAGCACATCAATGGCACACACAATACAGTGGACACCGTCAATTATTTAATAAATGAAATACTCAGGAGACATTAGGGAAGAAAACACAGAAACCAAGAGCGTGTTCATAAAGATGAAATGTGGACATGGGATAGCCAAATATTAATATGGGAGCTCCTAGGCGCCATTTTTGTACTTTTATATGGCTGACTCAGTCAAAGGATGTCCTCTAATATTCTGTTTTCCCAATCATCTTCCAGGACAGCAAACTTAGGGATAATTGGTTCCTCCCTCTAAAGGAAACGCAATCAGAAAAAAAAAAACACCTTAATACTGCTTTGGCATATTTCCTTTCTCGGTTTCACTGCCATTGTTCAGAGCAAAAGAGTTTTTATTCAGACATGTTTTCAGTTCTAATGCAAATGGTTGCATATGCCCCATTTGGAATTTTAAAGCATTCTGTTTGCATGTGTGTGCAGTAGGTCTGCGTGGAATCTAGAAGGTCAATCATTGTTTTCTTCCAGACTTTTGGGCCTGTGTGGACATAAGGATGTCTACTTGCATGTCCTTTTCTTTGCATTGGATCTACACTACCTGCAGTTTGCTGTGGGCTAGTAACATTAACAGGTGCTTCCCTTTTGATATGTTCACTGCACCTCAAATATTCAACTAGGTATTGGCTCCTGTGCTCATAGGGCATTCACATATTAGGATACCTGGATGATCTTCTAAAGGAACATTCAGAAAAGACCTTGTCACTTTTTATATCCAACAGACTGTCCAGACCCTACAGAGCATTGTTGCATTTTGACCCTTCAGAGGTTCTGTTGGAAACTATTCACTGCTTGGAGTATCTGGGTCTCCTACATACTGTTTTTCTTCCACAGATAAGCTTCTTCTCTGCTTTCATATTTGGCAGTCCAGGAGCCCTCCTGATTGCACAGGGGTTCAGGGAGTAATGGTATGCAGAAGAGGCAGTTCTGTATGCCTAATTACTCTTTGAACTATCACAGCTCAACATTCTTGTTGCATGGAACAAGAAGCCATGAATTGTGGACCTACAGCTACACCTGTCACATAGGACCAGGTTGTCTTTGGCCTGATGGCAGAGGAATTCAGCTCAAGTTGGGAGGTAAATCCTTCCTTCATTGGGTCTGAAAGATTCTCACAACAGATGCCCATCTGTCTGTCTGGCTGGAGAAAAGTCTTTGGATACTCCTAGGGTCTTGGTCTTCAGAGGAAGCTTTTCTCTGGATCAACATACTGGAGCTTGGGGTCATTCAGTTATCTCTTCATTCAACCCCTCAACTGCAAGGTCATCAAATTTGGATTTAGTCAGACAATGCCACAGCACTGGCATATTTCAGCCATCAGTTTCTGGTTCAGTGGAACCTTGCATTCCAACCCTGTGCTCCATAAACATTGCAAGTATGGTAAAATGGCAGTTGAACTTCCTCAGTTGACAATATCTGTACTGAGGAGTATGGTCTCCTCACCCAGGGATGCTTCTGGACCTGTCGCAGGTCAGGAACACTGGATGTAGTCCTCCTGATCTATGCCTTTTCTGTGAAATGCTTTACTCTGCTGCTCTTTAGGATTAAAGGGCAGAGCTTTCTGGTTATTCTTATCACATCGAGCTGGCCCAAGTGAATGGGGTATTGGGATTACATCGGACTCATGGCAGATTGCCTGGATCTTTTATGCTAAGGGCAAATTAGGAGACACCTGATGTGGACCTTTTGGCGTCCAGATTCAACAATTGGATAGGTTTGTCTCCAGGTCCAAGAACCCTCGGGCCTTCACCCTAGATGTTCTGGTCACTTTGTGGCATTAGTTTAATCTGATCTACAACTTTTCTCAGTTGCAGCTCTTCCCTCATCTGCTTTATAGGTTCAAGATCAAGGGCATTCTGGACTGGCCGAGGAGAACATGGTACTTGAATATACTCTGACGCAGCTTACCAATCAGATGTGGTGGCTGCATTTGTTTTCTTTTTTTAGATTTTTTTTCCCTCTGTTTTCACCTGGTGATCAGTCTAGTAAATCACTTCCTGTATTAGAGTGCCCTCTCTGGGTGAATGAGCAAGGGGGCACAGAAGACAGCAGCGTTGTCAGTCTGGTGGGGGGAGGGGAGTAGTAAATGTTCCAGCAGATTTAAATACACTAACCAATTAAAGACAAATGCCAGCTCACACTTTATAATCCATTACAGCAAACCGTTTTATTCTTTTTAGGATAAAAGTTTTACATGAATAAATAAAAGCTGGCCATTCGAAGCAAATCTACCAGTATTAAATGGTTTGTCTCGTCCCTGTAAACCGATACATCTGGAAGAGAGCTTTACTTTTAAAAAAAATAGACTTACTGGCTGGATCACCAAATGAAAATAAAGGAAAGAAAGCCTAATAAAAAAAATTGAATGCAGCCATCACATCTAAGAATTGGTAAGCTGCAAATATAATAAATGTTTGCTTTTAGGTTTAATACTGCCTTAATTGTATGGCTGTTTAAACCTGAGTCCCATGGGATAGCTGCCTTTCCGATTCTGTCATTCCTATGTTTCTCTAAGCTAAGAAATCCACCACTTGCATGGTCAAACTTTTAGCACTTGGAAGGTGTAGCACACTTGGTGTGGGTCAATGAGATTCCATCCAAGAAAAGTAGGATCTCAGCTTGGTTCCACTGGCTCTACTAAAACTGACCTTTTGATCTTTTTCAGAGAAATTTTTCTGTCAACACTCATCCACAAAGTTGCTTCCTCAATGCCATTACAGCCACAAGGTGGGTTTTGAGTTGGTGGCCCCTTTCATGTTCTACATGGAAACAAGGTTGGTTGTTAAGCTTTGACAAAAAAAGAAACCTGGAAGCTGATTGGTTTCTATGCAGAGCTGCACCAGATTTGCACTCTGCAGTTTTCATAAACCTATGTATCTACAAAAAGTAGCCACTTTAGTTCTTATCACCCAGGGACTTATTCTGCCTGCCTTTTGCAATAGCCCTATAGACCCAAAGAAAGAGAGCTTTCCATTTCAGTGAATTCTACCACATCTTTCCCATTTTTCAAACTTCATGGGCAGGAAAGGTGGGAACAAGTCATCAAGGGCGCTGTTTGGATTAGCTGAGATACCTTCATCAAATGTGTTAAAACCGAGCTTCTCAGGTTGCTGTCCTGGAAGATGATTGGAGAAATTCCTAGTTAGCCTTACCAGTAACGGAATTTCTAGTAGTCTTATAGGACTGCAATCCTACGTCACATACTTTTTCTTTTTGTGGTTATTTTTTTTTTTTTTCCCCCTTTTTTTTGCAGATTGAGGCTACTTTTATCTCCTCTGAGGGATGACTGGAATGGGAGGGTTTTATGGTTTCTGCTTGCATTTCCTGTGGAGTGAAGATCCAGTCATCTCTCAGGTTGTGGTCTTGGAAGATTCGTACTAGAAATACTGGGAATGTGTCCATTGCCCTGGTCCTTTTTGACTCAAATTGCAATAAGCTCCGTGCTGTAGAGCAAGTGTTTCTCAAGGTTTTTCAGTCAAAGCACTCTTTAAAATGATGAACAATGTCAAGGCACCCTCTAAAATTATGAACAGTTCCGAGGCACCCTCTAAAATTATGAACAGGCACCCTCTAAAATTATTGACAGTCTTGAGGCATCCCATTCTAAAAAGTTAAAAACTAATAATTTTATATAACGCAGCAAAATCCACACATGTAGGATACCCAATGATATAAATGATTTATTCTTCCAAAGAATATACATGTTTGCACACTGGTTCGGACTAGTATTCCAGTGTTTCTCTTCTCCCTCACTGAGATAATGTAACCCTGACGTAGAGGGGCAGGGGAGGGCAAAACAAGGCTGCTGTGCAGGCAACCAACATCCTCCTTATCAGCTAATGATGTCATTGGTTGTGAGGACACCGGCGGCTACAAGGTCATAATGGTGCACAATAAAAACCTGTAGCTTTGTGTAACTAAAGGCAGGCTTGATCCACCCATTGGCTTGCATACGAATTTTGGATAATTTTTTTAGACATTTTGCCAAGGCACCCTTGAAGAAACCTCAAGGCACCTTGGTTGAATATGGCTGCTGTAGAGTTAAACTGCATTATAGTCTCCCAACTGAGTGATGACATTTGTTAACTGAAAGTCCTGATTTCTCAAACTATATTCATCTTTCCCACAGAAATCTAAATTTCATTGGATATCAGATTAAATGTGCATCAAATACTATATCCACTTAAGCTCCAGAAGATTGTATCCCCTTCATGACCAGGACATTTTTTGCTATTCAGCACTGCGCTACTTTAAATGGCAGTTCCATGGTCATCGCTATACCCAAATAAAATTTATATTATTTTTTTCACACAGAGCTTTCTTTTGGTGGTGTTTTGATTACCACTGGGTTTTTTCTTTTTAGAAAATTATTATTATTTTTTTTTACTTCTATAAACATTTCCAATAAAAAAAATAGTTCGCGCTGAACTGATGCTCCCTGAGCCTGCAGGACAGCTTGAATGTCTTTGGAACATGTTTGGGGCTATTCTGCGTTGCAATCTTTCATCAATTTTCCTCATCATCCGTCCACGACCAGCTAAATCTTATTTCTTTCTTTATAAAGTTAGCCCAAAATGTATGCTGCTACATCTTTGGTAAAAAAAAAACAAAAATTCTAGTAAGTGTATATTAATAGGTTTGCGTGAAAGTTACAGCATCTACAAATGATGGTGTGTGTATGTATGTAAGTGTGTATGTGTGTGTATATATGTGTGTGTGTGTATATATATATGTGTATATATATATATATATATATATATATATATACACATATACTGGAATGTTGTGTTTTTTTTTTTGTTTTTTTTATATATATATACCAATTATGGTGGCAATCAACAACCTGTAGTAAGACTGTGATCGTACGGAGGGTAATCTAGCACTGACACTGTCGAAACTGATTAAATGACACTGACATCTCCAGTGACACTAATACAGTGATCAGTGCTAATAATGTACACTGTCACTGTACTAATGACACTGTCTTGGAAGGGGCTAACATCTAGGGGCAATCAAAGGGTTACTGTGTGCCTAACGATGTTATGTATTGTGTGCTGCTTTTACTGAGCAATGTGCCTCTTTTTACTCTCTGCTTTGCAGGGAGAAAAAAACTGGCACATCGCTTCTGTCTGTAGAAAGCTATGTTTACCAACACAAGGTCTCTTCTGTCTTTTTTGCTCAGTCGATCAGCGAGTCCTGGCCATAAATCATTGGCCGGGACCCGCTGATCAGCTACAGTGCGCAGACCGCAAGTGGATATACTTCTATAACTCTTTACGCAAAAACTCTTAGTAAACCAGTAGTGTTCCCTTTTTAATTTTTAATATTCATAGTAAGGCAGTTAGCCATTATATTTCCCTTTTTAGTAGTGAACATCAGATGACATCTTTTTGTTTTGTTTTTTTAATCCAGGCGACTATACATTGAAGAGCTGGAGACTCGAATAGCACTGATGCCTTTAATGCAGGCAGAAATTGATAGAAGGTAATTACTTTATCTGTATTCTTTCCCAGTAAAGAGACTCTCTGTTTTTGGGGTACTTAAAATGTTCTATCATCAGCACCTGTGTCTGCACTCACATTCCCCCACCCCCCCTCCTTCTTTCCAAGGGCCTGGTAGGATTTGAGAGAGACTCTCATGCTGTGTGTTTTTTTTTTTTTTTTCTCTCAAATTTTGATTGCCATCAATCCTTTTTGTTCCCTCGCGGACAGCTGATGAGCTATCCGTTGTTAGGAACATGCAGGTAGCTTGCCTGCTCCTTAACAAACAGCTATTCTCTGGTTTTCAAGGATGCTGGCAGCCGCTGCTAAGAAAAAGAAAACGCTGGAAAATGGTTCTTAGCAGCGGTCAGCTCAGCGTCCTTTTTTCTTTTTTTTTTTTTTTTTTTTTTTTTTTAACTCGGTCCTAGAAGCTAAAGTTTCAAAAATGCGTCTAGCCTAAAATAGTGTGCATGGACACATAGGATAATACTATATGCTTCTAGGGGCAGAGAGAAAACGCTCATAAGTAACTGCTAGAAACTTATTTTTAAGCTAGTGTGCATGGAGCCTTAAAGACATTTTGAAAAGCCCTCAATAAACTGCTCGTGGATTCAGTTTGTTTTGAAATGTTAAAGACAGATATTGGGAGTGATGACTGTCACTTTACCAGGCCGGTAACAAGTGCTGAAATTTACTAAAAGCCTGTTGAAGCCATCTAACAGCACTGCCATTAAGATCTGTGCTTACTATATCCAAACTAGAGCTAGAGGTTTCTTTAACGGTTTCAGGAAGGCCAGTTGAAGCATAAAAGCTTTGTAAAAGACTGCTGTACAAAACTACTCCAGTACAAGCTGAAGCAAATCTGTACATGTAAATGAGCCAAATAAAGCTAGAGCTCTAAGATGAGATCTCCCTGCCGGTTGCAGTGATGGATGCTGGCATCAGTGCACCATTCAGAGGTACTAGAGCAGGCATCACTATATTGCGGACCACGGTCTGAATACGGACCGGGTGATAGTCCCGTCCAGACCACGGCCACACCACTCAGCAGCCTGAGTGGACTCCTCCCGCCGCTGCAGCTGTTTGAAAGTGGGAGGAATGGCAGGACGGACCCCCACCCCGCATGCACCCGTCTACCACCGCCGTAGTCGCCGAAACCACAGTAGGGAAGAGGGCGGGAGGAATGGAAGGAAGGAATGCAAAGGCCCGCGCCACCGAACCCAGAGCAGGGAGGAGAGTGGGAGGCACCGCAGGTCCACAGGGGTAGCAGGGGAGGGGAGCCAACCTTTCATGTTAACAAACGGGTCGCTCCCCTTTTAACAAGAAGAGTTGGGCAGCTCACGCGCTCAGTGGAGATCCTCTGTGCATCCCGCCATCCTCCCTTCCCTGAGCCCAGCGGTGGAAAACTGGCACACCCAGAAGCTGTGCTAGAGCATTCAAAGAGAAGAAAAGACGCAGTTCACCAACTCAGTGCATTAGTATGGGCAGGGCAGAACATGTCAGGGGATATGGCTGGAGCTGTGCTGGAGTCCACATTCATCTGCATACTAATGCACTGGGTTGGTGAGCAGTGCCTTTTCTTCTCTTTGATAAAAATCTGTATAAGGTCATGGGTGTGAATTCTTTTCCCAGTATATATTAAAGCAGGTCTGAACAAATCATGATCACCGAGGAAATGAAGAAAAACTCTCTGGCGAACAGGGGTTTGAAGGGCTTTATGTGCAGTTTTGTTGACTGCAGTTACAAAAGTAGCCACTAGATGGTAGACTAGTAGAAATGGCAATTCATCAATCACTGATCATTCGCAAAATGATAACCTGTCTTGCAGGCTACCATGGACCAAACACTTAGCTACACATAACAAACAGTGCAGACAATTAGAAATGGAGAAAAATAGAACCATGCCATCAAAAAAGATTATTTGTACGCAATTATTTATAATACAATCTTGATATAAGATAAAACCTCTTTAAAATAAGATAAGACCAGTTTGTGTCCCATATTCCAGGAGACTTCTAGTTAAAAAAAAAATTAAAATAAAAAAATTACAGAATGTAAAATGGTACTTAGGTTTCCCCTTTTAGTTTCAGGTTGAAATTCAGATTTAATGGTCAGAATGTTAACATAGGACATGCATAAGGTTAGTTGTTTAGAGATAAATAATGTTTTGATAGTTGAATAGTTAGTGAGGCATATTCCGGAAGAATAATTCTGGACTTCTCAAAGATAGCATGTGGGTTTCATCTGGTTTAGTATCAGTATGGTCAGTGGGCTGGTGTTCAAGCATCATTAAGTATGTACATATATCCCCCACATATGCACACTGTGTAGATTTACCATTATTTTGCCTCAGGTCTATACCCCACACATGCACGGTACAGCCACCAATATGGCAGCAAGGTCCCACACGTGTGGTAGTGACTGGTCTGCAATGCCACTCTTGGGCATTTGTGAAATCTTGCTGACATATTGGTTGCATTACAGCACATGTGATATCTGAAGGGGCCTACCTCAGCTGCCAATATCTCGTCATCCCCATCCCCAACCTTGGGCACACTTTAATGTGTGTGTGTGTGTGTGTGTGTGTGTATATATATATATATATATATATATATATATATATATATATATATATATATATATATATATATAAGCTTTGGTAGGCTACTATCCAGTTTCTTGTTTTCCTGTGTGTAATATAGGCCATAGACAGTTCGAAAGAATAATCGGACGATTTTCGCACTGTTAGTGGGGCAATGGCATCGCCCGATTTTCACGGTTCCTCCTCATTTTGTTTATTGGTCATGCTTGAAAATTCGTGAAAAACGGCCGATTTTCGAAATCATTGGTGGCAACATTGGGTTACAGAACAAATGATGTTTCGTTTTTCGGACAAAAAAATCGGCCGATAAATGAACCATCTATGGCCTGCATAGCAGTGTGACTTGTAAGAGAGTAACGTGGGGTTGAGATAACATACTAGTCAGTATTGTGTGAATATTGAAGCATCTAGGACTATGAGGTAAGGGGAAAATATTCTGGGACTGAACTGGTTAAACACATTTTAATGTAAAAAAAAAAAAAAAAAAAAAAATTATAGTAGCAGGTGTTTCTCAAGATGCCCCCTAGATTTTTAGCCTGCATGGTCCTACTTCTAATAGCCTATCAGACTGTACTAGCCAGCATAGGCACATTATATCATATACCAGTGTCAACTATCAGAAGTAGAAATATATGCTATAGGATCCTTGTGTACTATGTGTGGATACACTGTACTGTCCTTGTTTGCAGGCTATATTTTTGTATCTAGATTGTGGGATTTGGTTTATGGAAAGTTTTTATATTTGTGAAAATTATTATGGTGAATACTGTTGTTTTTTGTCTGTGCACAGTTTTGACTTCAATATTTGCTTTTCATTAAAAAGGGTGCTACGGACTTTAAGAAGAAATTTAGAGGAAGAGGCCATTATTATGAAAGATGTCCCAGGCTGGAAGGTAGGAGTACCAGCTTAATTTTGAGTTTATATTGCTTTTAGTGAAGTGATCTTAAAGGCAATTGAAAAAAACAAACATGGTATACTTGCCTGCTCTGTGCAATGGTTTTGCACAGAGCATCCCCGATCTTCCTCTTCTCAGGTCTCCCACTGGCACGCCTGTCGCCTCCTTGCCACCAAGTGCCCCAGAGCAAGCATCTTGCTATGGGGGCAACTAAGCAGGCTTGCTTCTGACCCACTGTTCCTCGTGTACATTCACACACAGAGCGGCGGCTCGGCACCACCCCCCCCTCTCTCGCCTCTTTAACTCGCTGGCTGTGATTGACAGCTTTGGGAGCCAATGGCTCCTGCTGTTGTCTTAGCCAATGAGGAGGGAGAGCCCCCGGAGAGCCAAGGCTTTTGTGCACATTGCTGGATTGCAATGGGGCTCAGGTAAGTATTGGGGGGCTGCTGCATACACAACGCATAGAATGCATGAAGGTAAAAAACCTTGAGCCTTTACAACCACCTTAGGGGCAGGGCCAGGCCAAGGGGTAATCAGAAGTGGAGGCTGCCTTGGGTGCTTCGGCAGGAGAAGGGCACAAAATGGCAGGACATGATATTTATGCTGTTAAAGTAGTTCACAGCTCATGAAGGGAGGAATGCACATTGTTTTTTTTCACTTTGGGTGCTAAAGGATCCAGTTTCAGCACTGAGATTGAGTTTGACAAGTGACTTAATAGTGAAATGGGACACTGTGTAAGTCACTACAAGGCACAGTGGTGACATTGGGGACCAGGAAATCAACACAAGACTTCAGCTGGCTGTTTCTCTTCAGTGGAGAGATATTTCAGGCATGGGCAGTGGCAGAGGTAAGTATTTACCTTTCTTCCTTAAAGGGAAAGCCTTTAATTGAACTTCTAGTTGGAGGACAAGGTCACTATAGGTAATGTAATGCTTTATATTTTATAGTATTACTATTCGTAATAGAAAAAAAAAACTTTGTACAGTCGTTTTCAGTTGACTTGAGCCAGTATGACCAGTAGAGTATTAAATGGATCCTAGAAATAAAAATGAGTCTTTATGTGCTTTTATAGTGTATGTGTAATATGACCTGGGAAGGTGTGTGTGGGTCTTTTGTTTACATGTGATATTTCTCTGACAGGTTGGAGAATCTGCCTTTCATACAGACCGCTGGGGTGCCCCCTGTTTTAAATGAGCTGTACAACCTGCGCCCTAAGAAAGATTTGCAGCGTGAACATCAAGATTTCGTGTGGTATGTTTGAACCCCTCCATCTTGTCTACAGTTGTAGCTTAAAAAATAAATATTCCTTTCAGATACATGGCTCTCAGATCCTTTTATTTATTTGTTTATTATTGGTTTGTAAAAAAAAACCCCAAAAAACTACAAAACATAACACAACAAAATACAAAAGGTGACGTGTGAGTGCTACCCATGCAGGGATGCAATTGAAATGAAATAGCAAGTGCATAAAGCGTGCATACAGATAGCACTGATACCAACAAGGTACGGTTTATTATATTCCATGCAGTATATTAGTGGAAAAGATTTAAAAATAAATAACCAGAGTGATGCAGCACTGCTAATAATTGAACATCAATCTTGCATAATTAACAATCCACATGCATATACTGTGCTCATAATCTTAATATATAACTAAAAAACATGTGAATATAAATATAATTCCCTGATAAATTAAGTGAATAAAGATACATAAGTTCATATGTTTCCAAATATCACACGATTCAACACCGTAACTGCAAATCCGTGGTGAATGTGCATTTACATGCAATAATAGTGTCATTTCTGTGCTCACAGAACTCTCACCTCCACTATACAGTTGCAAGAAAAAGTATGTGAACCCCTTGGGATTACGTGGAGTTTTGCATGAATTGGGCATAAAATGTGCTCTGAACGTCATCTAAGTCACAACAATAGAAGAACACAGTCTGCTGAACATAATACTACACAAACATTAGATGTTGCCATGGTTTAACTGCACATAACATGTAAACATTCACAGTGCAGGGAGGAAAAAGTATATGAACCTTTGGACTTAATAACTGGTTGACCCTCCTTTGGCAGCAATAACCTCAACCAAACGTTTCCTGTAGTTGCAGATCAGACCTGCACAACGATCTGGAGTAATTTTGGACCACTCTTTTTCACAAAACTGTTTCAGTGTAGCAATATTCTTGGGATGTCTGGTGTGAATTGCTCTCTTAAGGTCATGCCACAGCATTTCAATCGGGTTGAGGTCAGGACTCTGACTGGGCCACTCCAGAAGGCGTATTCTGTGCTGTTGCAGCCATTGTTTTTTTGAATTACTTGTATGCTTTGGGTCATTGTCCTGTTGCATCACCCATCCTCTGCGGAGCTTCAGTTGGCGGACAGATGGTCGTACGTTTTCCTGCAGAATGTCTTGATAAACTCTGGAATTCATTTTCCCTCAATGACAACAATCCGTCCAGGCCCTGAGGCAGCAAAGCAGCCCCAAACCATGATGCTCCCTCCGCCATGTTTTACAGTGGGGATGAGGTTTTGATGTTGGTGTGCTGTGCCTTTTTTTCTCCACACATAGTGTTGTGTGTTCTTCTCAAACAACTCAATCTTCGTTTCATCTGTCCACAGTATATTTTGCCAGTAGTGCTGTGGAACATCCAGGTGCTCTTTTGCAAACTTCAAACATGCTGCAATATTTTTTTTGGACAGCAATGGCTTCCTCCGTGGTGTCCTCTCATGTACTCCATTCTTGTTTAATGTTTTCCTTATTGTAGATGTGTCAACAAAAATGTTAGCATGTGCCAGAGATTTCTGTAGGTCTTTAGCTGACACTCTGGGATTCTTCTTTACCTCATGCAGCATTCTGCGCTGTGCTCTTGCAGTCATTTTTACAGGACGACCGCGCCTAGGGAGAGTAGCAACAGTGCTAAACTTTCTCCATTTGTAGACAGTCTGTCTTACCGTGGACACATGAACATCAAGGCTTTTGGAGATACTTTTGTAACCCTTTCCAGCTTCATGCAAGTCAACTATTCTTGATCGTAGTTCTTCTGAGAGCTCTTTTCTGCGAGGCATGGTTCACATCAGACAGTGCTTCTTGAAACCAATAAACCCAAAACAGGTGTGTGTTTTTTAAGGGCAGGACAGCTGTCAGCAACACATCCAATATTATCACACTGATTGGAGTCAAGGTTGGCTCACTCCTGGCTCCAATTAGCTCTGGGAGAAGTCATTAAGCTAGGGCTTCACCTACTTTTTCCTCCCTGCACTGTGAATGTTTACATGTTATGTGCAATTAAACCATGGCAACATCTTATGTTTGTGTAGTATTATGTTCAGCAGACTGTGTTCTTCTATTGTTGTGACTTAGATGACGTTCAGAGCACATTTTATGCCCAATTCATGCACAACTCCACGTAATCCCAAGGGGTTCACATACTTTTTCTTGCAACTGTATATACTAAATATAAATATATGCAGCGCTAAAACCAGTAAATATCAATAAATATAAGTCAGCTGATAGGTGATATCATAAAAGCATATAAATGTGCTCCAAGGCGCTATGGACAGTGATGTGATACAATGTCACAGCTTGACGTTAAAGTGCATAAGGTGACATAAATAATATCCAAAAGTCAATTTCCAAAGTCAGTTGACAATATAGGGTGAAATTTCGTGACTGCAGTGGCTGTAAAAATAGGTGTAGATTGCACTAACCAGAAAGCGCAATCTAATGCGCATTTGAGTAAAATTAAACCAACTCCTGGTCATCTGGATCTGGAAACATGTCACACGGGGTCATCTGGCAATCGTCAGCAAGGCAGGTAACACACCATAGGAAGATATCCAGGCTCCAGAGATGCAATCATCAACCAGCAGGGGGAACCATTCACATACGTATATGCCCGGTCAGAAGGATTCACCTTAGAAGGGGGGCTCGTAATAAACAAGCCAGAGAGAAGAGTCTCCAATAGTGTAGTACTTTATTAATAATCAAGTAAAGCCTAGCAGGAGGTATTTAAACTCACATCTGGAAATGACAGGAAAACCAAGATGGCCGCTGGCTGTCCACGTGGGCCGTGCAGAATGACGTCACCTTCCTCCAATTTGGATGTACATACCCTCAAATTAAACCTGGAAGTGTGCACTTTCAGCGCATGTTCATTAAATAACTATAGCTTGAATATGTTTTGGTAAATACCTGTAAAAAGCTAAAATTGTGCCCGTGTCCAAATATATATGGACCTATGTATGTGTATATATGTATGTATGGTATGTGTGTGTATATATATATATATATATATATATATATATATATATATATATATAATATATATTTAATATACAGTGTATAAAGAAAATGTTTTCTCTACTTGAAATTAACTTTACTCAACTTTTATGTAGCATACTATCCCCACAGTCTTCTCCATTGACCATTTCATTTTAAATGTATTCTTTCCTAAAAACATGGAGGCTAATCGGTACATTTACTGATGACCAAAATTTTACTCTTTGTTAAAAGCCAGCAGGTAAGGCCTTATTTTCTTCTCTATCTACCCCCCACCTCCATTACATATGCACTTTCACTGGAGTGTCTTGCATTTTTGATTTTTCACTACAAAATATTAAGTTAGTATTTAAACTACGTCAGCTCTTTTCATATATCATTGGATTCCAAGAAACTTTGCAAATATAATCAGTGTAACCTAGGGGTCTTCAAACTTTCTAAGCAAAGGGCCAGTTTACTGTCTTATGGGCTTTGGGGTGGGCCAGACTATGGTCAATGAAAGCAAGCAATGCCCCATCATTGGTCTGAATTTGAGGAATAGTGCCTCATTAACAGTGCCTAGTGTCACTGGCAGGAATAGTGCCTTATTGATGCTGTCAGTGAGAGTAGTTGGGTCCCATCATTGGTGTCAGAGTAATGCACCAAGTGCCCGGTAAAGGCAAGCAAAGAGCCGCATTCGGCCCCCGAGCCGCAGTTTGGAGACCAGTGGTGTAAACATTGGTGTGCTCTGTTTACATTTTGGTTGTCTACAGCTGCAGTGCAGAGTCATAATAAGTGTTGGATACATAGTTAGTTTGGCTGAAAAAAGACAAAAGTCCATCCAGTTCAACTATTTAAAAAAAAAATTAAATTATAATCTTACCCACAGTTGATCCAGAGGAAGGAAAAAAACCCCAGCAAAGCATGATCCAATTTGCTCCTGTTGGGGAAAAAATTCCTTCCTGATCCCCCGAGAAGCAATCTGATATTCCCTGGATCAACTTTACCTAATAAATGTTAATATCCAGTTATATTCTGTGTATCTAAGAATCCAGGCCTTTTCTGAAGCAATCCACTGAGCTGGCCAGAACCAACTCTTGAGGGAGTCTGTTCCACATTTTCACAGCTCTCACTGTAAAGAAACCTTTCCGTGTTTGGAGATTAAATTTCTTTTCCTCCAGATGTAAAGAGTGCCCCCTTGTCCTCTGTGATGACCTCAGGGTGAATAGCTGTACACGGAGTTCACTATATGAACCACTGATGTATTTATACATGTTGATCATATCTCCCCTTAATCTCCTCTTCTCAAGAGAGAATAAATTCAGTTCCCCTAATCTTTCCTCATAGCTGAGCTCCTCCATGCCTCTTATCAGTTTGGTTGCCCTTCTCTGTACTTTCTCCAGTTCCCCAATTTTCTTTTTGTGAATTTGTGCCCAAAACTGAACTGCATATTCCAGATGGGGGTCTTACTAATTATTTGCACAAGGGTAATATGATATCTCTCTCTCTGGAGTCCATACCTCTTTTAATACAAGAGAGAATTTTGCTCGCTTTATAAACAGCAGCTTGGCATTGCATGCCATTATTAAGCTTGTGATCTACCAGAACTCCCAGATCCTTCTCCACTGATTTCCCCAGTTGTACCCCCCTAGTATGTATGATGCATGCATATTCTTAGCTCCCAAGTGCATAACCTTACATTTATCAACATTTGCCACGTAGTTGCCCAATTAAACAGTGCATTGAGGTCAGCTTGTAAATTGGAAACATCCTTTAAGGACGTTATTCCACCACTGCACAGCTAGGTGTCATCTGCAAAGACTGAAATGGGATTTTTTAATCCCAGACCCTATATCGTTTATAAATCTATTAAAAAGTAAGGGTCCCAACACTGAACCTTGGGGTACACCACTGATGACCCTAGACCATTCAGAGTATGAATCATTAACCACTACTCTGAATACGATCTTTTAGCCAGTTTTCTATCCATTTTC